TCGCACATTTCTTGGTTGTCGGAACACGTCGTGGTAAGCCGATCGGAATGCAGGGACGACCGGTCCCTGCTCAATCTTTCTGCCCTCTCAGCCTGCCATGAAGCGAGCGGGTCCTGAGGGAAACGGAACCATTCTTGTTTCACAGTGCTATATATATATATATGTGTGTATATATATATATAGATAAATGTGTATATATACACACACGCAGTTTTCGGCCTCCAGGCCGCCCCCCAGGGCCTGGCCCGGGGGCGGTCACGGAGAGCAGTGCAGGGCCCCAGGGTCCCGGGCCTGTTTCCTTCCGGGCCCGCCTGTCTCCTGCCAGCTGGGATCGGTTGCTCTTGCCCAGGGGTGGCCCCGCGCTGCTCCAGGGGTGCCCAGCTCCAGCATGAGCCAGGACCACCTCCGGTCTCAGATGTCCCTTCCACAGGAAGAGCGCCCAGGAATGGCTGAGCATAGTCTGGGGACGATGTTTCTACCACGTTCTGACTGTCGGTGTGATTTGTTTGTTTAAGGTCGTTTTTGGCTTTCTTGCAAAATCCGCCTCTAGGAGGACACGCCCGACCTGCATTAACCCGAGCATTGTCCTCGGGTGGAGGGCAATGGGTGAAATCTGAAATGCCGTTTCGATGATCGATTTCCGAGGCTTGAATCTGCAAAAGGTGAATCACAAGACGGATTAGTTTTCGAGGTGCCAAAAACCCAGATGGATTTCACCCTGAGCCCTTCACCCTAAGAGAAGGCTCAGTTAATGGAGGATGACGATTAATAAATGACCGGGGGTCGTGTTCACGCGGCGGCGCCCGGGATGACGATTAGAAAACACCGGCCGCGGGCTGGAAAACTATGTTTCTTGATCGTTCTCCTCCAGTCAGAAAATTCGGCAGAAGTAGCAGAAAACTATTTGGTTTTAATCGTCCTCTCCCTTTTTTATCAATCGTCGTCCCGCATTAGCTGTATCCCCCCTTGAATGGGCCACGGGCAGCGTGCGCCCTCCGCCTGGCTGGCTCGTGGCCGCCCGCGGGCCCGGGGGGCGGGCCCTGCCACCCCCGAGGGCGCGAGCCCATGCCACCCCCGAGATCCTGCCTGCCGCGAGACAAGGGTTGCAGCATCGCCAAGAAATCCCAGGCGAGGAGGAGGAGGAGGAGGCGGGGGAGGAGGAGGGCCAGGGAGGAACGGGAGGAGGGGGAGGGGGAGGGGGAGGGGGAGGAGGAGGAGGAGGAGGAGGAGGAGGAGGAGGAGGAGGAGGAGGAAGGAGGAGGAGGAGGATGAGGAGGAGGAGGAGGAGGAGGAGGAGGAGGAGGAGGAGGAGGAGGAGGAGAGGAGGAGGAGGAGGAGGAGGAGAGGAGGAGAGAGGAGGAGGAGAGGAGGGAGGAGGAGGAGGAGGAGGAGGAGGAGGGAGGAGGAGGAGGAGGAGGAGGAGGAGGAGGAGGAGGAGAAGGGATTGGTGGGAGCGGGGCTCGGGGGATCCACGAACAGGCACCATGCAGGAGGAGCAGGGGGAGGAGGGGGAGGAGGGGGAGGAGGAGGAGGAGGAGGAGGAGGAGGAGGAGGAGGAGCCCCAGACCCCAGCATATCCTCGGCATGCTCGCGCCGCGGGGCCCCGAGGTCCCGGCGCTGCAGCTCTTTCGCGCCGGGCGCTGCCGCCCAGTCTCGGGCTCCTTGGGCCCTCGGACCGCAGGCTCTGGCTCGGAAGCTGACGCCTCGGAGAACGATGGTGTCTGGAGCTCTGGCCGTGATCCGCTACGACCGCCTCAGATCTCCAACGCATTGAAAAATCAAGACGGAGGTTTTTCTCGATTTTCGGCCTCTAGGGGCCCTCGCCGGGCCCTGGGGCCGTCAAGAAACGGCTCAGGATGAAAAGCCGGTCCTGGGGAATGGGTCGAGACTTCGGGGGTTGAGCAGATCACAGCGTCGGATCTCTGGGTCTCTCGATGCTGCCTCGTCTTCGCAGCGTCAGCTTCATCCGGCTTGCTCCCGCTTAATCCGGCTTTCAATCCGGTTCCATTCCGCTCAATCCGGCTCCATCCCGCTGAATCAGAGGCCCACTGGCGTAACAGCCCCGAAATGGGGCTTATACAGTGAGCGGCTTGAGTAAGGAACACTTACTTTTCAAAAGGGGCTCGGTCGTTCCTTAGGTTTGCATGCGTTATTTGTTATTTACCGTTCCTTATGCGTTATTCCTCGGGATAAAAAAGGGCTTCGTTCCTGATTTATCGTTCCTCAGGTCAACGCCCCGACTGTAATCTTCCTTATATTATCCTTCCGACGAAGACCTCCCAGCAGCTGCCTCCGATTTTTTTCCACACCGCGGGGAGGCCTGGGGCGCCAGGATCTCAAGCGAGAGTCCCGGCGGAAGGGCTCTTCGGCCGCGCTCGGCCCTCGACGGGGGGGAGGGGGGAGGCCCGTAGGACCCGCCGTTCGTGCGATCACAACCGTGGATGATTTTCTTGATTGTCAACAACGGCCATCAATGTGAATTGCCCACACTCAGAATCAATGTGAAGTCCATTTGCCACTTGATTTTGCTCATACACGTTTTCCAGAGGCAGCGACAATCATAGCCAATGTGTAAGCCCCCCTCGCCGGGCCGATCGTGAGGCCGTCAGGCAGAGACAGGCTGCGTTCGGGGCGGGTGGCCTGCCCAAAGGGAAAGGGTCCATGCATTGTGGGGGCGCCGCACATATCCCCGGGCATGATCGCGTCGCAAAACAAAAACATCAGGACGGCAGGTTTTTCGCTGTCATCGGCCTCGTGGGGTCTTCGCCGGGCTTCGGGAACGTCAGAAAACGACTCAGGATGAGAAACCGGTCCGTGGGAAAGGGTCGGAGTTTCCGGGGACGCCGTCCTGAAACGTCGGGACGTCGCATGTCTGGGTCGAGAGACGCGAGACGTCGGACGCTCGGGGAAGGCTCCCGCACGCTGCACACTACCGCCACCGCGCCCAGGACAGAAATCCCGACGGGAAGTTTTTCATGTTCGGCTCCTGGTGGGCCCTCGCCAGGCCTCGGGACCGTCGAAGAACGACTCAGGATGAAAAGCAGGTCCCGGGAAAAGGGTCCAGACCTCTGGGGGGTCGACGTCATCAAAAAGCCTTGACGTCCCCGGGGGACGTTTTCTCATGCAGGGTCGTGTTTTCTGATGGTCCCGAGGCCCGGTAAGGCCCCCTGAGAGGCCGAACACAGTTAGCGAGAAACCTCCTCTCGTGATCTTTCTCATGACCCGCACCGAGAGACTCAAGACGTCGGTCGTTCGGGGAAGGCGCCCGCACGCTGCACACCACCACCGCCACCACGCCCGACAACGACGACGACGACGACGACGACGACGACGACGACGACGACGACGACGACGACGACGGCGACGGCGACGGCGACGGCGACGGCGACGACGACGACGGCGACGACGACGACGACGACGACGACGGTGGCGGTGGCGGCGGCGACGGCGGCGACGGCGGCGGCGGCCGGCGGCGACGCCCGCCTCACCAGGGGGGCCCACCGAGCGCCCGCGCGCGCGGGGCGCGCCGCGTCCCCCCGCCGAGAGCCCCTGCGCCCGGCGTGCGCGGCCGCGCCGCATGCGGCCGGCGCGGGGGGCGGAGGGCGGGGCGCGGCGGCAGGCTCTGGGACGGGGCGGCACTGCCCCGTGCGAGAAGCAGCTGGTGCGCCCAGACCTCCTCACGTGGTGAGAGAGATATCCACGCGAACCGACGCCCACGCACGACGGAACTATCTGGAGGGCACACGCCAGGCTCCCAGAAGTTGCGACCGAGCTCTAACCCCATGACCTGAGCAGGCGGCCGACCATCCCGGCATGCCTGCAGTCCCACCACGCCATGTTCTGAGAACCCACGCTCCTCGCGCTCCTCCTCGCGCTGTGAAGAAATCACCTCGCGCTCCTCCTCGCGCTCCTCCTCCCTACGGAACTCCAGACCTCCTCGCGCTGTGAAGAAATCACGACGCCCGGAGGCTGTTGCCATGTTCGGCCTCCGGGGGCCCTGCCCGGGCCGCGGGACCGTCCGAAAGCGACCCAGGAGGAGGAGCCGGTCCCCTGGGAAAGGGTCCAGAGCTCGGAGGGTCGACGCTGCGAACAAAATCGCGACGTCGGGAATCTGGGTCTGGCGAGCCCCTGTAGGCCCCCATCAGTTTAATGTTAAGTCGGGCGTGTCCCCCTACCAGGGGATTTTCGACGAAAACTAAAAAATACTCAAAAATAGTAAAACAAAAAAAAAACATATTCCAAACATAGTATGGGGACTATTCTTTGTTTTTTTGTATGTTTTATGTTTCGTCGAAAATCCTCCTGAAGGGGGACAGGCCCGACATAAGTTGAATGCTGATCGTGCGGCCGGCAAAGCTCGAAAGGAAAATCGGCACCGCCTTGCACGTTGGAATCGGGGGGGTGCGGGGGGGGGTCGGAGGTGTAGAAAAACACCAGCTGCTTTTCGCACGGGGGTGCAGGACGAGGCGAGGATACATCCCTTGGCATCGCTCGGACGTGTGCATTCTTTTCCGGCAAGGACCGTCGAGGAGCAGTTTCGTCCACCCTGCGGGAAGCCGCACGCACGAAGCCGAGAAATGCACAGGGAATGGACGCCCGAGCGATGGCGAGGTCCGCTCCAGAGCGTTCCGGAACACTCTCAGAGCGCGCGTTCCAGAACGCTCTGAGAGGGTCGCGGCGCCCGAGACAGCCTCCAAGATCCGCCGGACCTCAGAGATTCTGGGTTTCTCCTCGCTGGAATTGTCAGCAAGAGCGAAATCGGTACGGAAATCATGGGTACACAGACAGGCAGCAGTTCCTGTTCATTTTAAACCGGACTCGCCGTCGGCGTCGCCAGGGACTGTGTCCATTTGAGACAGAAGGCCGCCTGCCCAACAGCGGCCGTTGGTGGTTTGTGGCAGCAGTTGTCGTTGGGCATCAAACCAATTTTTCCGTACCCACTTCGGGCGTCCAAAAACTGATCCTCGTCCTGGCTTCGTCTTCGCGAGGGGGCGGGCCGGGGCGGCGGCGGTTGCTGTTGCCCGGCGGTGGCGGCGGCCGCCATCGCTGCGGCCACGCGGCGGCCTGGGCGGCGGCGGCGGCGGCCGCCGCCGCAGCTGCCGCACGGCGGCCTATAGCAGCGTCGCTGCCGGGGCGGGCGAGACAGGGGGGGGGGTCAGGGGAGGAAGGAGACCGATGCCTCTGAGTACTTACTTCTAGGGTGCGGGAAAAGGCGATTTCAGATGAACCTGGCCGCCCTCGTGGGCGCCAATCCCAGGGCGGCTGCAGAGGTTCCATTCCAACGATGGCAGGTGGGGGTATAAACTGTCCAGCCGCCCTGGGACTGGCGCCCCCGATGTCGGAGCAGGTTCTGTTTGATGCCGCCCCTCTCCCGCGCGTGGTCCCCTTGCCCTCCTCGCCTCGGCTGCACTCGCCTCGATCGCCTGGTCAGGACGCTCCCCGGGAGAGGTCCGTGCAGTGGCGGTGTCGGCACCTTCGAGCTCCCCCTGGGGGGAAGTGCCGGGCGACGGAAATCGGTACTCCAGGAGGGGGGTCTCATTTCGGGGGGGGTCTCTTCCAGGCTATCTTGGAGAGCCTGGGAAGTCTGGGGACGATGTTTTGGACGGTTCTCCCACGGGGGAGGTCTGAAATGGTTTGTCTTGGAGGGTCCAGACCCCCTCCCTTTTATTACGAAATCTGGAGTACGCATTTGTCTCCGCTGGCCATGCCCATCCTGGGCCCAGCCGGGGTCGGTGTTTCTGTTGCGCCTCTCTGGGCGCGCCCGGGGGGCGTGCACCGACCTTGGGTCCAGGATGGTCCTAGCCAGAGGCGGTGGACCTGTACACGCTGGTCGTTGGAAGTAAGTCTTTCTGGATTCCCAGGTCCCAATCTACCTCAAGCGCCTTCCTACTTCAAGAGCCAGTTTGCTTTTGCTGTTTTTTGTTGTTCTCTTGGAGGGCGTGGACCCAATCCACTGAATCCGCCGTCTTACTTCATGTTGTTTGACCTACCTCTTCCGGCCGATGGGTACAGCTCTCACCGCCCCAATGTGGAGAAAGCAGTGGAGGGGTGTGCGAGAGCTGCTGCGTGCAGCTGGCTTCGACGCTGCTGCCGCGCCCTGTCTGTCCTCGATGCACGGCCGCCTCGGGCGCCGGGAGGCGCAACTGAATGCGTGCAGCCGACTCGCTATACCTTGAGATTCGACGTATAAAAGAATTGCGACATTGTGAAAAATCACGCCCAGAGCCCTATAGACCGCATCTTCCCGCGTCACTTTTTCAAGCCAGATCGATGTGTGAGGGTCCTGATGGGCCCAGGAAAAAAAAACGAGAACGCCCAGCTCGAGAAACTTGAGACGCCAGGATCTCAACCCAGACATGCGACGTCCTGATTTGTTTCAATACGGGGTCCCTTGAAGTCCCGACCCTTTCCCCGGGGCCGCCTTTTCAGCCCGAGTCGTTCTTCGACGGCCCCGAGGCCCGGCGAGGGCCCCGCGAGGCCGAACATGGCCAAACACCTCCCGTCCTGATACATATATATATATATATATAGAATGACTCGATCATGTCTGGGAAGGCAGCCCCCCTTGGCTTAAGTCGGTCCTGTCCCCCTACAGGGGGACTTTCGACGAAGAACAAAAGATACCCCCCAAACAATCCCCCAAGAAGGCCAACAAATACTAAAAAAATAGTCCCCAGCCTAGTTTTGGACTATTGTTTGATCATTTTTTTGGGGATCTTTTATTTTTCATTGAAGCTCCCCCTGTAGGGGGACAGGCCCGACTTGACCCTTGGCCACCCCCGCCCTCTGTGCAAACAATAAACAAGTGGTCCCCTGACTTTTTTTGGGATTGTGTCTTTATTATTTGGGGTTATCTTATATTTTTCGTAGAAGTTCCCCCTGTAGGGGGACAGGCCCGACTTGACCCCTGGCCACCCCCGCCCTTTGCGCAAATAATAAAAGTGGTCCCCTGACCTTTCTTGGATTATGTCTTTCTTATTTGGGGGGTATCTAGTATTTTTCGTCGAAATTCCCCATGTCGGGAGACAGGCCCGACTTAATGGAGGATGGCGATTAATAAATGACCGGGGGTCGTGTTCACGCGGCGGCGCCCGGGATGACGATTAGAACAGACCGGCCGCGGGCTGGAAAACTATTTTTTTAAACCGCTCTCCTCCAGTCAGGAAGTTGTGCAGAAATAGCAGGAAACTATGTTTTTCATCGTTCTCCCCTATTTTTTCAATTCACCGTCATCCCGCATTAACCCCTGGCCACCCCCGCCCTCTGTGCGTCGGCGCCGGCCTCCGCAGCCGCTCCCCTCTCGGCGGCGCGCCGCGGCCTCCTTGCGGCGGCCGCATGGCGTACCAGCCGCCCGCCGGCTCGTACGGGGCGCCAGGCCTTCGGGGGGGCGGGGGGGCCAGGCCTGTCCCAGATCTCCTGGCGTCGTGAAAAAATCACGGCGGGAGGTTTTTTTGCTATCTTCGCCCTCTCGGGGCCCTTCCCGGGCCTCGGGGCCGTCAAAAAACGATGCAGGACGAAACACCGGTCCCGGGGAAGGGATCCAGACCTCTCGAGGGCGACGTCGTGAAAAAGTCACGACGTCGGGGGCCAGGGCTGTGGGAGCCGATTAAGTGGAGAGGAAGCGTGCTGCCAAACGGTTTCCAGACGTCCGAGAATGGCCTCAAACGTGTTCTGGATCTGTGTCAGCATGCCAGAAGCACCTTCAGAGCGTGCTGTGCACAGTTTCATAAACACACTGACAATTCAATGGGGGGATCGTTGGAGTGTCCGTTGCCATGGCATCCAAAAGGCCAGTGGCTGGCGTCGGCCGAGCCGCGGCGAGGCGCCCCGGCCCGCCCGTGGGCCCACGCCCCCCTCGCGCCGCAAGGGCCCCCCCGGAGGCAGAACAGATCTCTGGCAGCAGCAGCCCGCCGCTGTGATGGTTTCCCGGCGCGGGGAGGTCTCGGGGACCCTTCCAGACCTCCTGGCGTCGTGAAAAAATCACGACGGGAGGTTTTTCACTATTTTCCCCCTCTGGGGGCTTTTCCCGGGCCTCGGGACCGTCAGAAAACGATGCAGAGCGAAAAACAGGTCCCGGGGAAGGGGTCCAGACCTCTGGGGGGCGACGTCGTGAAAAATTCACGACGTCGGGGGTCTGGGTTTGTCGGGGGCGGAAAAGAGGGGGGTGATGACTAGGGGGGGTGGATATGATGGCGGGGGCCATGATATTTCCTCAGATGTCATGGCGCCTCTTCTTATTTCATTACGTCCCTGGCCCCCCCGCTGGGCCGCGCACGTGCCGCCAGTCATGATTTGCACCCCCCGCTCTTGGACACCCCCCTCTTGGCCGCTCCAGACTTTGGGTTCTACAGGAAGCTTCGCGGCGGGCGAAGAGAACTCTGCACATGCACACCGATCCTGGCGAGGCCCGTCCTCGACCCAGGCTCGGTGCAGGTACCTTCCTTGGCAGAGGTAGCGGGCTTGTGCACCGGTCCTGGGTTCAGGATGGGCCTGGCCAGAATCGGTGTATGTGCATATGGTTCTCTTTCCTCTGTCGTGGCAGGCCTGCAGGAGTACCGGGACGGCCTGGCCCTGCTCAAGTTGTGGTGTTGGGCCAGGAGGGGGAAAAATGCACACAGCCAGAACGAATCGTCGACCCCTTAAGGAACGATGTGAACATATGGCAAGTGGGGGGAAGATGAGCACCCAGAGAATAGGTGAAAATGCACGGGAATCCAGGGACTGGTGTCTGTTTATTTGTGTGTCCCTGGCCCCCCCCCCGCCCTGGGGAAGTGATGGTGACCCTCGCCGTTCCTCCCCCCCGCGGTCGCCCGCTCTGTCCTGCGTTCCCTCTCTTTCATGCTGGCCAATTCACTACAACGGTGTCCCCGTTTGTCGGCCACGCGCAGAGGGGGGTGGGGTGAGGGGGGAAGGCTTCTTAGAAGCACCCCTGCTTCTTAGAAGGCGCGGGCCTTCTCTATACATGTGAGGCCAGCGCCTTCTAAGAAGCAGCCCCCTTCTAAGAAGCCTTCCCCCCTCCCCCCACCCCCCTCTGCGCGCCGCTAAGTTCGGCTAGTTTTTTTTCCGCCAGCGCAGACGAGCCAGCCTAGCCGCCGACGAAAAAAGGTGCCCCCAGGCTTACGTCGGGCCTGCCCCACTACAGGGGCATATCCAGAAGTAGGCGAACAAGAATAGTCTGGGGACTTTAACATTCTTCGCCAACAGAATCCGCCTGCAGGAGGACTTGCCCGACCTAACCCTGGGCCCCTTTTCTCAGGGGCCCCTGGTTGGGGCGCCCTCCCTGCGCCCCTTCTACGCGGGGGCTCCTCGTCGCCGCCGCCGGGCCCGCCTCGGCGCTGCCTGGCCGGGCCGCGCCCCACGAGAGGGGCCCGCGGTGGCGAGCTCTTCGCCCAGGGTTTGAAGTCGGGCCTGTCCCTCTACAGGGGGGCATACTCAAAAATAGTCAAATATAGTCTGGGGACGGTTGTATTATCATTTGTTTCACCGATGTTTGAACGTATTTTGGGTATTGATGATTTTCTTCCAATCTCCGCCTGTAGGAGGACATGCCTGACCTAAACCCAGGGGGGCCTGGACCTTTCTGCGGCGGATCTCTCTGCGGGGCCCAGGGGCACTAATAAATGGACACAAAGTCGGGCCTGTCCTTGAAACGGGGGATGATAGACCTCCTACCCTGACGCGTCGATTGGCGAATTGGCCGTGTTCGGTTCGCGAGAGGGCGTCGCTGCCGTCGTTTTTGCGGGTCCTGGTCCGTCGGTTTCGGGCCCGGGCCGTTTTCACTAAATGGTAGTTTTCTAAAGGGAGCTATGTCCACCGTTGGTTCTACAGAGGAATTGTCAAACATAGTCGAAAATAGTTAGGGGCCAATTTTTCTATTAGTTTTGATCTTAGTTGTTATTTTCCTTGAAAATCCGCCTGTACGAGGACATGCCACCCCTAAACCCAAGGGGGCCTGGACCTTTCTGCGGCGGATCTCTTTGCGGGGCCCAGGGACACAATTAAATGCACACACATCTTAGGATTGCCACATATTTTTGCCTATGTTCTGAGGGTTCGTCTCCCCCCACTTGCCATATGTTCCGCATTGTCCCGGGAGTCGACGATTCATTGTGTCTTGGCATCGGTCGGACGTGTGCATTTTTCGTTCGGCGAGGACCATCGAGGAGCATCCTTGATCATTTGGCGAAGAAGCCACGCACGAAACCGAAAAAAAACAGGGAATGGACGTCCGAGCGATGGCAGGTGTGTCTGTGTGTTTTTCCTCCTGGCCGAACCCCACAACTTGAGCACGGCCCGGCCGTCACGGTGTTCCCACAGGCCTGCCACGACATTCTTTTGGAGCCCAAAGTCCCCAGATCGGGGGCGGAAGAGAGGGGGGTGATGACTAGGGGGGGTGGATATGATGGCGGGGGCCATGATATTTCCTCAGATTTCATGGCGCCTTTTCTTATTTCGTTACGTCCCTGGCCCCCCCGCTGGGCCGCGCACATGTCGCCGGTCATGATTTGCACCCCCCCCTCTTGGACACCCCCCTCTTGGCCGCTCCCGACCAGACCTCCGCGCCTTGCGAAGAAATCGCGGCGGGAGGCTTCTTCTTGTTTTCGGCCTCCACGGGGCTCTCCCCGTGGCCTCGGGACCGCGAAAAAACACGACTCAGGAGAGGGTCCAGAGCTCTGGGGGTCGACGTTTGGAAGAGATCACGGCGTCGGGGGTCTGGGATTGTTCAAAGAGCACAAACCACGCTCTGAGAGACTCAGCCCGTTGTGCTCAAACAAGACAGTCTCAGCCAGACTCGTTCTAAGAGCACTTCGTGCCGCTTCGTGCGCACCACACAGGTTTCCTAGAACATTCCCAGACCCCCGACGTCGTGATTTTCTTACAACATCGGCCCACAGAGGTCTGGACCCGTTCTCCGGGACTGTTTTTTCGTGCGGAGTCGTTCTTTGACGGTCCCGAGGCCCGGGCAGGGCCCCTCGGAGGCCGAAAATCGCAAAAAACCTCCCGTCGTGCTTTTGCCACCGTGCCCGAGGCTTTGTGCGTCCCCTCTTGGGCAGTCCGTCTCGGGGTCGTGTCTTCTGCGCGGCGTCCGGCGACGGCAGCGCCGTCGCCGCCGCCCTCTCGCCGCGAGGCCCCCCTTCCCCCGCTCTGCCCCTGGCGTGGAGGCCCCTTCCTGCCACCGCCCTTCTCCTCCTCCTCCTCGTCCTCCTCTTCCATCTCCTCCTCCTCCTCCTCCTCCTCCTCCTCCTCCTCCTCCTCCACCTCCATCCTTCGACTTCCAGCGTCTAGCAGCTCAGCACTCCGACCTCCACCCTCCAGCATCCGACTTTCCACCTCCACCTCCACCTATCGACCTCCAGCGTCCAGCAGCGCAGCACTCCGACCTCCACCCTCCAACAGCATGTGACTCTCCACCTGCACCTCCACCATTCGACCTTCAGCTTTCACCAGCTCAGCACTCCTACCTCCACCCTCCAGCATCCGACTTTTCACTGCAACCTCCGCCTATCGACTTCCAACCTCCACCAGCTCAGCACTCCGACCTCCACCCAACAGCATTCAGCTCTTCACGTCCACCTCCACGTATCGACCTCCAGCTCCCACCCACTCAGCACTCCGACAACAAGCCTCCAGAGCCCAATTTTCCACCTCCATCTCCACCTGTCGACTCCCAGCGTCCACCAGCTGAGCACTCTGACATCCAGCCTCCAGCATCCGAGAGTCCAACAACAACTCCACCTATCGACCTCCAGGTTCCACTTACTCAGCACTCCGACCTCCAACCTCCAACATCCGACCATCCACCTCCACCTCCCTTTATCGACTACCAGTCGCCACCAGCAAGAGGAAGAGGAGGGGGAAGCCGTGCCTGCAGCGATGTATCTGGCGACGTGCCGTTGTGCATCCTGCACCGGCGATGCGCGACGACTGAATCCAGCTCGGAAACCTCCAGTGGTAGGGCAACGGAGTCTGGTAACGTCGACTCGCAGGAAGACGCCCCTCTCCGACCACGTCCCGGCCATGCTCGTGAACGACAGCTCTGAAAATTGGACCGTCCACGGCCTGGCGAACCTAGCACCAACCGACACGCCAGCACCGACCAGCAGCAACCTCCACACTCCAGCAGCACCAACCAGCAGCGACCTCCACAGACCACCAGCAGCGACTTCACCAGACAACCAGCGCCGACCAGCGACCAGCGACCAGCCGACTAAATCAACCACCGACCACCAACACCGACCATCAGACCAACCAGCAGTGATCAACAGCGACCCCGGCAGACAGCCGGCAACAATCAACGACCAGCCGAACAGCCCAACTAACGACCAGCAGTCCCGACCACGACCAACACCGATCAGCAAAAACCTCCACGGACCTTCAGCGATGACGCTCACGAACAACCAAACCGACCACCGACCAGCAGCACCAACCAACCCAAACTCCTACCTGCACACCCCACTACCAACACACACAGGAGGAGGAGGACGAGGAAAGTGCAGTGAAGTAGCAAGCGACTTCCCCGTCGCATCCTTGCGATTTCGACCACCGCGCCACAACTATGGTAGACGAGCAGAGTACGCCAACAATGATCAGCAACGACCTTCAGCAGGGACCTCCACAGTCCACCAACCACCAGACAGCCTAAACCCGACTAGCAGCGACCTGCACTGTTCACCAAAAACGACGTCCGCAGAAAGCCAGACCGACCACCGCCAACCAGCAGCACCGGCTAACCTAGTCACCGGGGGAGGAGGAAGAGGAAAGTACAGCGATGTAGCAAGCGACTTTCCCGTTGCATCCTTGCGATTCCGACCACCCTGTCGCAGCCCCTGCGGAGGACGAACAGAAAGCACCATTGCAGGCGACGGCTTTCATTCCTGCTCTGCCCAGCCCTCCCCGCCGACCGCCTCCTCCCAGACTGGACAGACCAGCGGCCAAACCAGCGAAGCCATCGGGGACACCAGCCACGACACTAACATCGATTTCACAGTCATTCACAAAAACGCGAGTTCCTTGGAGACAGATGACCGGATTGACGAGTTATTGTATGATTTACGTAGTGCGCATTGGGATGCAGTTCTGCTCAATGAGACGTGGCGGACGACGCGACAAGAATTGTGGATCACTTCAGACGGGCATACTTTTGCAGGGTCTGGCAACGACAGCCGTTCGCACGGAGTCGCAATCCTTCTGCATAAACGTTGGGGCAAACACGTTGCAGAGTTCCAGGCTATCTCCGCGAGGATTGCTACGCTCACGATCAAGAAGGGCAAAACCATATTACAACTTATATCGGCATATTTTCCCCACACTGGGTACACGGACATCCACATACAGCAGTTGTACGACATCGTCAGCGCTTTACTCAAAGAGGCACGTTCCCGACGGATCCGCACAGTTCTTGCGGCCGACTTCAACGCTCAAGTTGGCTCCAAACCACGCCTTCCGAGTGAACTTCTTCACGAAGACGCCGGCTCTGAGGATATCCGTTCCGACATGTGCTCTCGCTACGTGGGTCCCCACGGATTCGGCGCTGGAAATTCCCGAGGCCAATGGTTACGCCACTGGGCTACCTTAGAGAGGCTGGCAATCGTGAGCACGTTCTTCCGCAAGCCTCCGGACAAGCTGATCACCTACGTGACGACAGGCGGCAAGCCACGACAATACGATTACATACTGGTAGACAGATGTTTGCTACCCTCGTGCAGAAACTCCGAAGCCAGCAACATCATTGATCTCAACTCGGACCACAAAGCCGTGTCCGTACAAATGCGTTACAACACTTGGGAGCCCAAGACAGACAACCAGTCCAAACGCCCACGACCGACCAGACACTCCGCGCACTGGCCTCGAGGACGCGCCGATTGCGACGAATACCAACAGGCATTGGGCTCCAAACTACAGCGCGAACGGGTCCAGGAGAAGAAGGAGGTGGAGGACGCCCGAGGAAAGGGGAGGGGCAAAGGCTCATCCGGGAACACATCGAAGGCGAACGGCAGGCTGACCTTGCCCTTGGCTCGCGAGGTCGCGGACCTCAAAAGCGCCGTCTACCTCAGGAACGAGAAGCACGACGCGACGGTCGGCCTGGCAGCTGCGGGAAGGAAGCAGGCGTCAGGTGCAACGCCCAGAGCGCCGAGGTGGAGAAGCTCGAAAAAGGTGGCCAGCAAGTCAACCACAAAGCTCGAGGGGCTCCCCCCACGTCCATGTGGCGATGGCGCCCATCCTGCGCGGCGCTGGCAAGCAGCTGCCAGACGGCTCAAAGCAGACGGACATCATGCTGCGCGACGAGATGAAGGAGCACTACACCAGCGAGATCTTCGCGAAGGGGATCACAGCTCAGAAGTTGGGCAAGGGGATCCCGTACTACAGGGTGCAGGTGCTGAAGGCGAAGCAAGGCGAGAAACACAAGGCCATCACCTCGTGCAGCTTCCACCGAGACGCGAACCTCGGCATCGCTCTCTCGAGGCAGCTGGAGCCGCCGATGGAATCCGAGGGGGGGGGTCCTGGCAGGCGCGGCCCCGCGCGGGCCACTCGAGAGGAAGTTGGCGGAGGAGGTCGGCCCCAAGGAGTATGTGTAGGCGGTGGCAGCGGTCAGCACCCAGGCAGTAGCAGCAGCCACAATAATTACATAGAGCTCGACATCATTGATGAGCCCAGTGAGCCTAGTCAGCAGGGGGGCCACTCATTCGTGCTTTCCCCCGTCCAGGACCTCGGGAGCTTTTTCGGGGAGCGAACGGTTTCGCGACCTCGTGGCCCGCGGCGCGATCCCACCAACAGGAATTCATCGACCTGCCATGAGCACATATGCTGCGGCACCTTTTCCAGGTCCGCTTCCAATCACTCCGATTATAGACGCCCCCAGAGCTCAGAAGGGCTCCGGAGGCAAGTGGACGGGTCGGGGGGCGGGGGGTGGGCCTGGGTGAGGGGGCCCCCGTGCCTTTGGAGCCTGCGCCCCGCGGGCTGCGTGCCCAAGCATCAGGTTGCAGGGCTATGGCCAGTGCCGCTCTCAGCGGAGTGCGCTGGCTGTTTCGCGGTGTTTGGGGGGCGCAGAAGCAAACCGACTCATTGTCCCATCTCTGAAAGTGAGCCCAGAGGTGACGGCAGGACCCCACGAGTTATTCATTCATTCATTCCTGGCGGTGCCCTCGCACTCCTCTTCAAGAGTGGGGAAGAGGAGAAGGAGGAAGAAGAGGAAGAGGAGGAGGAGGAGGAAGAAGAGGAGGAGGAGGAGGAGGGAAGAGGGTGGTGACGACGACGACGACGACGACGACGACGACGACGACGACGGCGGCGGCGGCGATGACGACGACGACGGCGACGACTCCCCGGCAGGCGTGGAGGGCTGGGGCGCCGGCCCCGCGCTGGGCGGACAGCCAGGCCGCTTGGGGGCCCTAGGATGCGGGGTGGTTGTGGTGCGGGCGTGGGTTGCCCGGACCGCCTCCTGGAGGGAAGGGGCGGGGAGGGAAATGAACGGGTCTTTTCTAGGCCTCCTAAACGGGGTCGGACTGTCGCTCCGCATCGCCGATGCATCGCCGAAGCGGCTGGATGTGGAACCCTACTTGCTTCACGTCGACGTCGCCGATGCATCGCCCACGTCGACGATGCATCGCTCATGCATCGCCGATGCATCCCCGATGCACCGCCGATGTATCGGCGATGCGGTGCGATCCTCCGACCCCAGTTACTCCGACCCCATATAGGAGGCCTCCTCGCCCTGAAAGAAACATGTCCGTTTTTTTGTGAGACCGCTCTCTGCCTCCTGGGGCCTTCCACGGGCCCTAAGGGTCCGCCAGAAAACGCCTCCGGGCGAAAAGCTGGTCCCAGGCCCAGACCCCCGACGTTGTGATTTTTTCGCAGCGTCGACCCCCAGAGGTCTGGGTCCCTGCCCTGGGACCGGATTTTCATTTTGAGTCGTTTTTTGACGGGCTCCGCGGCCCGGGGAGGGCCCCCGGAGGCCGGACATAGCGAAAAACCTGCCGTCGGGTGATTTCTTCATAACGTGGGGCGGTCTGAGGGGAAAGGTCTCATTTTGGGTCGTGGACCTGCTTCCTCCCGGGGGGCGGTCTCCCCGCCCCTTGCCGCCCGAGAGGCTGGGGCCAGCAAGCGGACGCCAGCCGCTTCGGAGGCGGCGCCCACAGGCCCTTCGACCCCGCGCCGCAGACCTACGGGGCCCCGCAAGCCGGTCTCCCCGGCGGCGGCGAGGGAGGGCGGCGGGGGCTGCCACGGCCACGGCGACCACGGCGACGGCGATGTCACGGCGGCGACCGCGGCGGCGACGGCGGCGAGGGTCGAGGACTATGCAGGACTGCGACGGCGGTGGCGGCCAGGGGGGCGACGACGACGAGGGCGGCGAGGAGGGCCCTGCGCGGTGACTCTGTGGAGGTCTCGGCTACCAGACCGGCCACCAGGCCGGCTACCAGGCCAGCTATGGCAGCGGCGCCTTCGCGCCGCCGCAGTCTGGCTACCAGGCTGGCTACGGCGGAGGCGCCGCGGCGCCGCAGCAGCAGGGCTACCAGACCGGCCACGGCGAGCCCGACCCTGGAGCGACTGGGTTCTCAGATGCGACGAGAAATTGAAGGGTAGGATGCAGGAGGCAGGACTTCGGGAGTGAGACATACAGAATATCAATGACACGCCGCCGTTGCAAGCGCGTCCGCGTCGGCGTGTTTCTCCTTCGTTCCTGTTCCGGCACCTGGTGTTTCTTCGACAGCTCCGCGCCGATGTGTTCCCCTTGGCGGCGTGTCACTGATGGATTTCCTGCGCAGGAATGAGGAGGGAGAGGGGGAAGAGACGAGGATAGGAGGGAAGGATGAGGAGGAGGAGGAGGAGGAGATTGAGGAGGAGGAGGAGGATGTGGGGGAGGAGGAAGATAGACGGAGGAGGAGGAGGAGGAGGAGGAGGAGGAGGAGGAGGCGCCACACCTAGATCCACCCGTGCCCTCCGCGACAGGCCCACTACGCACGACCAGGGCCACCCGCGCCCTGGGACAGCGTCAGGGCCCTCCCGGTCCCGACCACGGCCCAGGAAAAAGTGGGCTCGCCTGCGCCGACGTTGGCGCGAGAGCTGCTCGCGCAAGGTGGCGCGCCAGCGTCCTCGTCTCCATGGTCCATTGTGACTTGCCGCGCTGGCGGCGGAAGCCGGCGTCAGGGCGGGGGAATGTGGCGGAAGTGCAAAGTACGCCCCCAAGAGATGGTAACATCTATGGGTTGAGGAATTCCGCAATCCGCCAGATGCGGGTGCTTTCCCCGAATATCCGTTGTCCCCAGTCCCCCGACGTCATGATTTCTTCATGACGTCGACACCCCAAACCCCCCTCGGGTCATGAAAAAACGCGACAGGAGGTTTTTCGCTATTTTCGGCCTCTCGGGAGCTTTACCGGGCCTCGGGACCATCACATAACGACCCGGGATGAGAAGCCGTTCCCGGGGACGTCATGATTTTCTGATGACGTCGACCCCCCCAGAGGTCTCGATCTGTTCCCCGGGACCCGTTGTTCATCCTGAGTCGTCGTTCTTCGACGGTCCCGAGGCCTGGCGAGGGCCCCCAGAAGCCGAGGACGAGGAGGAGGAGGACGAGGAGGAGGAGGAGGACGAGGAGGAGGAGGAGGACGAGGAGGAGGAGGACGAGGACGAGGAGGAGGAGGAGGAGAAGGAGGAGGAGGAGAAGGACGAAAATCACAAAGAACGCCTCCCGTCGGGATTTTTTCATGACCCGATAGGGGGGCCATGGGCCCCGGGAGGGGCCCCGCTCGGGCGTGGTGGCGGTGGTGTGCAGCGTGCGGGCGCCTGCCCCAGACGTCTGACGTCTCGAGTCTCTCGATAGGCAGCGCCACAGCCAGTCGTCTGGAGCCTTTCCCTTTGGCCTCCTCCTCCTCCTCCTCCTCCTCCTCCTCCTCGTTCTCCGCCTCCTCCTCCTCCTCTCTCCTCCTCTCCTCCTCCTCCTCCTCCTCCTCCTCCTCCTCCTCCTCCCTCCTCCTCCTCTCCTCCTCTATCCTCCTGCTCTCCTCCTCCTCCTCTCCTCCTCCTCCTCCTCTCCTCAATCTCCTCCTCCTCCTCCTCCTCCTCCTCGTCCTCCTCCTCCTCCTCTCCTCCTCCTCCTCCTCCTCCTCGTCCTCGTCGTCCTCCTCCTCCTCCTCCTCCTCCTCCTCCTCCCTCGTCCTCGTCCTGGCTCCTCGCCCCGAGCGCAGCTTCCCTGCGGAGACGGGCCCGGCGAGGGCACCCACCCCCCCGGGGGCCGCACGCGCGGCCGCAGACCTTCCGCCGGGAGTTCCCCCTCGGGATCCCGGCGTCTCCCAGACCTCCTCGCGCGCCGGGAGGTTTTTTTTGCCATGTTTGGCCTCCGGGGCCCCTCCCCAGACCTCCAACGTATTGGAAAAATCAAGACGAAGGTTTTTCTCGATTTTCGGCCTCTATAGGGCCCTCGCCGGGCCCCGGGACCGCCAAAAAACGACTCAAGATGAGAAACCGGTCCTGGGGAATGGGTCGAGACTTCGGGGGACCGCGTATTGAAAAAATCACGACGTCGGATCTCTGGGTCACCGGGCCGCGGGACCGACGAAAAATGACTCAGGACGAAGGACCGGTCCCGGGGAAGGGGTCCAGACCTCTGGGCGTCGACGTGGCGAAAGAGTCACGACGTCGGGGGCCTGGGGTTGCAACTCTTTCACGGCGGGCGTGCTCGCCCAGGGTCCCTCACAGGTGGTCGATGCGCCTCGAAATGGACGCATGCAGACAGAGGGGGTCCGGGACTCCAGTCGTGATTTTTGTTGGCGAGGTTGCAATTCTTTTCGCAGCGTCGGATCTCAGGGTCCTCTGAGATCCGACGCTGCGACAAAGATGCAGCATCGCGAGAAGGCGTAAGAGATCACAATCAGAGCCCTATAGACACCATCGTTCTGCGTGCGTCATCCTCCGAGCCAGAGCCACCCGTGAGGGCCCCGGGGCCCGACATTGGGCGACAACGCCTGGTGTGAAAGCGTTGCAACGCCGGCAGATCTCGATTGCACGTAATTATAAGACTGTCCTTCCGCCGGAGTGAGCTTTGGTGCGGGCCCAAGATGGGCCCCCCGATCGTTGAGCGCGATGCGATAGCAGCGGCTTGCGCGCCTGGTGGTATCCCCACAGGAGGCCCCCCCCCTTGGCCGCGCACTGAAGGTCCCTCTCGCCTGCAGGGCCACTCTTGCGTGCAGCCGGATCTGACGGCCTCACGGCGCGAGCACGCCTGGAACCCAGAGGTCCGACGTCGTGATTTCTTCAATGCGGTCCCTGGAAGCCCCCGACCCTTTCCCCGGGACCCACTTCTCCTCCCGAGTCGACTTCTTTCTGACGGCCCCGAGGCCCGGCGAGGGCCCCCAAAAGCCGAAAACTACGAGAAGCCTCCGTCCTGATTTTTGTCAGTGCGTTGGATCTCGGGGGCCTCGCGGCGCGAGCACACGCGCCCGGGATGTTCGGAGGTGGCTAGACCTCCTATCACGTCGATGAAGGGAGTGGCTGTTCTCGGTTCGCGAGATCGGCGCCGCGGCCGTCACTTCTGCGGGTCCCGGTCCGGCGGCCTCTGTCCCAGGCCGCTTTCACTGAGGGAAGGTTTGCGAAAGAGAGGTTCTGTCCATCGCCCACAGTTCTGGACGCCCGAAATGGGTACGGAAAGAATGGGTACAATGTCCAACAGCAGTTCCTGTTCATTTTGAGCTGTCCGCGCCGCCGCGGCCTGTGTCCATTTGAGACAGAAGGCCGCCTGCCCAACAGCGGCCGTTGTTGGTTTGGCATTGTACCCATTCTTTCGGTACCCATGCCGGGTGTCGAAAACAGTGCGTTGGACCTCGGAGGCCTCGCGGCGCGAGCACGCGCCTGGGATGTGCGGGGGGCCTCCCCCCATTTGCTGCGCAGGTCGTCGGGCGGCGGCTGTGGCGCGCGCGCCCCGCCCGGGGCGGGCGCCCCGGCCTCGTGGCTGGCGGCGCCGCCCGCGGAGGACCGGAGGAACATTCAAACATTGTAAATCAATAGTCTGGGGACGATTTTCCCATATATATATATATATATATATATATACACATATATATATATATACAAGACTGCACTGGCGCTTCGCGCCATGCACCTTGGTCCTTGAAGTTTGGCATGCAGGCGGAATGGCAGGAAGGTCAAGCCGACAATTTAGCGATAACTCCTGGTTGCCTTTTCCGGCATCGCCGCTATAATGATATTATTCGTTATATTCCTCAACGCTTCTTGTTCCTTAGTTTCGCCATACCCTGCGCATTCTCCCCATCCTCCTCAGCTTTTTTTTGCGAAGGATCCTCCTTGGAGAGCCTCTAGGGGCCTCACAAAAGTTGTTCCGGGCTTTCTTAAGGCCTTCTGGAGGCCTCCTGGGCGCATTCTGGGGGCCTCCGGGGGCTTCCTCAGGCCACCCTGCCTCCAACCGCCGTCTCCCTGAACGACCGAATCACGATTTGGAATTCTTCGGAGGGTGTCTTTGGGCCATCTTGGGCCGCCATGGGGCTCTCTGAGGGCCATCTTGGACCCGTGTTGTGCCGTTTTGGGACTCTCTTGGACTGCCTGGAAGCCCTTTCGGATGGTTGTGGGGCGATTTGGGAGCCTCCCAGGCGGCTTCGGACGCCCAGAAGACCGCCGTCTTAGAGCGTCGGGAAGCCGAAAAGAGGAGAACCCCAAAATTCACCAAAACCCATAGAAAATCAATGATTTTTGCCTCGGGGGGCCTTCTTGGGAGTGCTCTTGGAGGCCTCTTTGGGGCCGCCCTGGAGGCCTCTTGGGCCATCTTGAGGTCACGTCGGTCACTCTTGGAGCGCTCTTGTGCTGTCTTGGGGGTCTCTGGGACGTCTCCGATGACCCCCCTGATCGCCTTAAGTGTGCTGGGAAGGCTTGGCAAAACGCCTTGCGAGGCCCGGTGGCCGCTTCGAGGCCAGTCCGGAGGGCCCCAAAGCCCCAGGTACCGGGAGACCGGTTTTTTTTTGGGGGGGGGGGACGGGTTTTCCCCCCGCTTGGGCTTGTAAAAATATAGGAAGAGGAATATGTGTATGTATGTATATGTAGTTATATTATATATATATATATATATATATATATATATATATATATGTGTGTGTATCTAGCTGTTTTGAGCTGTTTTTTGTTGAATGTCTTCATGTTCCTTGCAAAACCCGCCTGTAGGAGGGCATGGCCGGCCTCACCCTGACCCGAGGTGCCCGCAGAATGTCCCGCGAGGTCCCGGCGGCCCCGCCAGACCCCCTCGGGCCATGACAACAGCAATCGCGACGGGCAGCTTTGTGCGCCCGTGTCGGCCTCCCGAGGAGGGCCCTCGCCAGGCCCCGCGGGGCCGTCGATCGAGGCACGACTCGGGAGGAGAAACCGGTCCCGGGGACCGGGTCGAGACCTCTTGGGGGGTCGGCGTCACCGAAAGATCATGACGTCGGGGGTCTGGGTTTATGTCGGGCCAGTCCCCCTACAGGGGGATTTTCAACGAAAGAAACAAAAATACACCAAAAATGCACCAAAAAGGTCAAAACATAGCAACAGAATAGTTCCCAGTCTATTTTTGGACTACTTTGGACATTCTTGTTGGGGGTATTCTTTATTTTTGCGTCGAAGATCCCTTCGTAGGGGGACAGGGCCCGACTTGAGCCTGGGTCCGGAGCACCCCTCCCGAGGCCCAGGGGGCCCCAGGGCTGCCAGGCCGGCCACGGCGAGCCCCATCCTGGCGCCACGGGCTTCCGGATGCGAGGAGGAACGGAAGGGTAGGATTAGGTCGGGCCTGCTGCCCCTACAGGGGGATTTTTGTTACGAAGAATGCCACATACCCCCAAAACAGATGGTCCAAAAAAGGTCTGGGGACTATTTTTTTAGTATGTGTTGTCCTTTTCGGCGCATTTTTGGGATATGTTTTATGTTTCGTCGAAAATCCCCCTGTAGGGGGACAGGCCCGACATAAGGGTAGGCCGGAGGAGTTAGGAAGTCCGGAGAGAGAAATCGTCTCAATGACGCGCCGCCGTTCGCGTTGCAGGCCCGTCAGCGTGTTGCCCCTTCTTTTTGTTCCAGCACCTGGTGTCTCTTCCACAGTGACGTACTGATGTGTTCCCCTCGGCGGTGTGTCATGCAGGGGCGACGATGGGGGATACGATGGGGGGATGCATCGACACCCAATCGCCCACTGGTCGCGGGTACGGGTCTGATAGTGATAGCCCCACCCTGCCCAGGAACATGCGGAGTCGCTATCTGTGGCCAATCGCCGATCTATCGGCGATACATCGCCGATTCTAGGGCGATGTTTCCCCCCCCCTATGCCAGTCCCCCCCCCCACTACCCAGGGATCCGATGTGATTTTTTCAATATGGAGTCCCCGGCAGTCTCGACCCCTTCTCCAGGACCGGTTTTTCATCCTGAGTCGTTTCTTGACGGTCCCGAGGCCCGGCGAGGGCCCCGAGAGGCCGAAAAACACGAAACACCTCCGTCGGAGGTTGTTCAATCTGTTGGATCTCTGGGCGTCGCTGCCCCCAGTCGCTGCTCCATGGGGGCACCTCGGGCCAGGGGCACCTCTCTGCAGCAGCGCCCCGAGGAGGGCCCTGCCGAGCAGGCGGAGGCGCAGCCGGACTCCCCGTCTCGCCCCCGCTCCGCCTCGGACCTGTTCGCCGGCACCCTGCGAAGGTCGGCGCGGAGGAGGAGGAGGAGGAGATGGAGGAGGAGGAGGAGGAGGAGATGGAGGAGGAGGAGGAGATGGAGGAGGAGGAGGAGGAGGAGGAGGAGGAGGAGGAGGAGGAGGAGGAGGAGGAGGAGGTCACCAGCCTGAGCCACGTTATCTCGGAGAACTGGACGGGGCCAGGACGAGGATGAATCCGTTCCAGAGTGCTCTTGATCGCTCGCAGAGCGTTCCCGGACGCTCTGAGAAGGCCGCGGCGCCCGGTACGTCCTCCAGAGCCGTCGGATCTCAGAGACTCTCGCAATTCATCCTCGCCTGATTTTGTCCTCGTCCTGGCTCCGTCTGAGAGAAGAATCAGCGGGCACAATGGCACAAGCTGCCGGGGTTCCGTGCAGGTTATCGGAGTCTTGCAGCGACCAGGGAAAATGTGTGAGTCGAGCACCGCAACTTCGCTGTCTCTCACTTGCCCCCGCTCCGCCTCGGTCCCGTTCGCTGGTACCCTGCAACGTCGGCGCGGAGCCTCCCTGAGATCCTGGCGCTGCAAGTGTTTCACACCGGGCGTTCGGGACCCTCACCGGTCGATCGGGCTCGGAAAATGACGCAGAGAGCTGGCATCTAGGCCTCCGGTCGTGTTTTTTCGATTGAAACTTCTCGCGATGTTGCATTGTTGTTCGTTGGACCTCAGGTTTGCCAGTCGGCTGCGCGTAAGAGTGACCCTTCGCTGGAGTGATGTATGGCGCGGGCCCGACGGGGCCCCGCCAACATGGGCTGGCGCTGTTGGGTTTCTTGGATTTGGCCCCTACTGCGGCCCTATCATGCCGCGCACCAGAGGTCACTCTTGCCCTTCGTGGGCCCTGGAAACGACAGGGCCGTTTTTGTTACCAGTTCCTTTTTGCTGTTTTTGTTGCCGGTGCCGACGCCGTTCCTTTAATAAACCAGTTCCGTCGATTTGTCTTACCAGTTCCGGCTCTGGCTCCAATCCTGGAGCCGTTTTCTTTGCTGTTTCCGGTCGCCGTTTGTTTTGCCGTGCCCGTTTTCAAGAGACACTTTTCCGGAAACGGGGACAAAGACGGCCCTGCCGTTGCCGGGCCCAATATAAGCTCTTGCCCAGGGTCTTTTTTGCGTGCAGCCGAGCCAGCCTGGGGTCGGAGGATGGCGCCGCATCGCGGATGCATCGGACGTGCGGCTCGGTGCGGCGCCCGAGTTTCTCCGCGCTGGCGTCGCCGATGTACTGCCGACGTCGCCGATGCATCGCCGATGCATCGCCGCATCGCCGATGTATCGTCGATGCGGCGCGATCCTTTGACCCCATCTACTCGGACCCCATACTGTGGGAGGCCTCGATATCCCTATCGTTATGACTGGCATCTCCTTCTCTCGGTGCCGATCTTTCGGAGTCCTGCAGTTTCCAGGGGAGCATGATTCATGTTCCCTCATCGCATTGGGCTTGCCCATCGTAGCGGCTTAGGGATAGGGGTGAGCCTGAGGCTCCTTAGGAGTCGAGGTCGCCGTGAAGCTGACCGGTCCCGAGTGCAGCACGGATCTCCAGGCGACTCCCTGTTTTTTCCATCTGGGGGCTTTGCCCCATCCTGGCCTTGACGTGAGGCCCCTCCTTCTGCCCTTCCCCTTTGTTAGTTAAAGCTGTGCGCGGCCCGCTTAGCTCCGACCGGAAGAGGTGCGCTCTCGACCCGCGGATCAAACAAGTTTTTTCCATCAGAAGTCCTCCCCAGGAGTTCCGCCCTCGGGCGCCATCTCTGAGCCCTGGGGCCATCAACAACCGGATCCGGGGCCCTCAACAACCGGATCCGGGACGACGAAGTATTTGGCATCGCTCGGACGTGTGCGTTTTTTCTCGGCGAGAACCATCGAGGACCATCCTGGACCGTCGAGCAAAAAAAACACGCACGAAACCGAAAAATGCACGGGAAATGGACGTCCGAGCGACGGCAAGAGTACCCCTCGGGAAGCCGTCGGTGCTTCCGGGGCCGCGGCTGGAGCGAGTCCTCAGCGGAGGTCTGGGAGCAGGTCCCCAGGCTTGTGACAGCCGATCTCGGGCCAAGAAGGGCCCAGGGCGACAGGCTGGTCTTGGCTTGACGAACCAGCAACACACACCCATACCCATAGGGGGATCGGAGAGGGCTATGGGTGCGTGTTGTCGGATGGGGGTCCCCGCTCGAACGGGAGCGTTCCCCAGGGTCCGACAACCCGCACCCATACCCATAGCCAGTCCTCCTCCCAACGACCCCCCTATGGGTATGGGTGTGTGTGTTGTTCGTTCGTCATGGCTGGCCATCGCTCGGGCGTTCATTCCCTGTGCTTTTTTTGTTGGTGTCGTGCGTGGCTTTCTCGCCAAGGGATCGAGGAGATGCGCCTCGGTGGTCCTCGCCGAGGGAAAAGATGCACACGTCCGAGCGATGCCAAGTTGGGGATAGGCCCTGGGAGTGAGAACAGGGCCCGCGCACCTCAGGACCCGCCTGCCGATCATGCTGGGGAGGTGCCGTGGAGGGAAGGGGCCATGCCCCACGGGTTTTTTCGCCGTTCCCGGCCTCCTCAGGGGTTCCTCCTCCTCCGTCCCTCCTCTTCCTCCTCCTCCGTCCCTCCTCCTCCTCCTCCTCCTCCTCCTCCTCCTCCTCCATCTGGGCACGCTCCACCTCCTCCTCCTCCTCCTCCTCCTCCTCCTCCTCCTCCTCCTTCCCCTCCTCCTCCTCCCCCTCCTCGGGGCCCCGGGGCCGCCCAGCAAGCGCGCCCCACGAGCAGCCCGGCCTGGGGCAGGCCGCCAGGGCCCCAGCGCCCGCCTCTGGCAGGGAAGCCGGGGCACCGCGGCCTCGCGCCCGCCGCACCGATCCAGCTACTGCCAGCGCTCTGACACCGCATTGCGGCGAGAGGAGGCGGAGGAGGAGGAGGCGGAGGAGGCCGAGGAGGAGGAGGAGGAGGAGGAGGACGAGAGGGCCGCAGGATGAGAATGAGGAGGAGGAGGAGAGGAGGAGGAGGAAGAGGAGGCGGAGGAGGCGGAGGAGGCGAGGAGGAGGAGGAGGGAGGAGGAGGAGGAGGGGAGGGGAGGAGGAGGAGGAGGAGGAGGAGGAGGAGGATTGGGACGAGGAGGAGGAGGAGGAGGACGAGGAGGAGGCGGAGGAGGAGGAGGAGGAGAGGGCCGCCCGCCCCAGGAGCAGGGCAGGCACCTCCCGGCCTGGCCAGGGAGGGCTGCTCATGGGCCTCGGCCGGGCCAGGGTCCAGTCGGACACGTCCCTCTATAGAGGATGGAGGTTCCAAGATGGGAAGAGCAGAAGAGTCGGGGGACGATCCTCAGACTGTTTTTGTTTTGACGTTTTTTATATACTTTTCGCCCAAGATCCGCCTGTAAGGAGGACGTGCCCGACCTAGGGCTGGGTGAGGTGGACAGCCGATGCCCCCCGAAGAAGGCGGTCCAAGCCCAGCAGCGCCGACGCCGGCGGCGAGGCTGCCCGCAGGGAGAGCCGCGACCGCACGCCGCCCAGGCGGCGCCCGGCGGCGGTGCGTGTCGTGGAGGAGAGCGCCCACCTGCTGCCCCTGTGCCTGGCCCGCGCGGGGCGGCCCCTCGCCTGCCGCCTGCACTCGCTGGCGACCGGCCTGCTGTCGCTGCTCGCGGAGGAGCCCTCCGCCTGGCTTGCGCCGATGTTCGCGGCAGCGCCGGGGAAGGGCGGCGAGGAGGGTGAGGCTGCAGGTGGTCAGGGGGCGAAGAAGGGTAATTACATTCATATATATATATATGTATATATAGATGTTTGTGTGTGTACCGCCGTCGGGGACGCCGGTTCCGATGTTTATATATATATATATATATATATATATATATATATATATGCACATGATGTTTGTTTGTTCCGCCGTCGGGGACGCCTGCCCTCCTGGCGGCTGCAAAGTTCATGCCCTTGCGGTGCCACGTAGGGGCATGAACTTTCCAGGCGCCTGGGGGCAGGCGTCCCCGACGGAAGGTGAGCGGTGGGACGCGGCAGCTGACGACGGGCTCTTCCGCGCGGCCACCAGCCTGCACCGCCTGGAGCCCTGGAACCTTGAGCGGCTGCGCCTTCAGCTCGGCCGGTCCCTCCAGGCCCACTCCGCTGGCGGCGGGCGGCCCGCGGCGGAGGCGGCCTCCTGGGAGGCCGCCGAACTCGAGGCGGACCGGGACTGCGAGCCGCTGGGGTGCGGTCCGTGCGCTCCGCGCCTGGTGCACGGCGACCTCGGCAGCCTGCAGGACGCGGCGCTGCCGCTCGGGCTCTCGCTGCGCACGCGCTCCCACACGCGGATGAAGCGGCGGATGCTGATGGCCACGCAGCTCTACGAGCTGAGGCTGGACGTGGTGCGCGCCACGCTGCTGCACGCGCCCGCGGGGAGCGCCGGCGGCGCCTTCGACTGCGAGGAGGGCAGGGCCGCCGCCCTGCTGCAGGAGCTGTACTCCCGGTACCAGCGCGAGGCGGAGGTGGACCTCACGCTGCAGCTCGACGCGCGGCTGGACGCGCTCGTGGCGCACGGCGGCGAGCTGGAGGCGCAGGCCACCAGGGAGCAGCAGGAGAGGGAGGCGCAGGCGGAGGCGGCGCAGGGGCACCTCCCCGAGCCCCGCGCTGCGGGCCACGGCGAGGAGGGCGGCGCGCGCGAGGCCTACCTCCGCCACCTGGAGGACCGCCGCAAGCTGCGCGCCCGCCGCGACGACGGCCAGCGGCGCCTCGAGAGGCTGTGCAGGCAAAGCAAACATACAATACATATGTGTATATATACATACAAATAAACATCTCTCTATATATAATGTTAAATTCTACTTAATGCATCGACTAAACATCGAGAGGCTGTGCAGGCAGCTGTACGACCAGTGGCGCAAGCTCGTGGACATCCGGCAGAGGCAGGGCTTCACCTCGACGCCGTGGCGCCTGCGCGCGCAGGAGGAGCCGCACAGCCAGCTGCAGGACGCGGAGCGGCGGAGGCGCAACGTCGAGGCCGAGGTGAGGGAGCACCTGTGGCTGCGCGGCGCGCCTGGGCAGGACCCGAGCAGGATCCGCGAGGTGCAGGAGAACATCGAGAACAACTGGGACAAGCTGCGCCCGCCGGGCATGCCGAGCTACCGCTTCGAGCTCACGGCGACCGAGGAGGTGACCCCCACTGAGGGGCTCCGGGCCCTCTACCGCGAGAAGCGCGACGCCGCGCTGAGCCGGGAGATTGCGAGGAGGCGGCTCGTCGGCCGGGCGCGGGTCTGCGTGGTCTGCCGCGTGGCCGACCGCGTCGTGGGCCGGAGCCCCCTCTTCTCGCTGCACTGGGACACGTGGTCCACGGCATCTCACGCCGCGCTCGAGGGCGGCCCCGCTGGCCAGGAGGCGCAGTCGGCCCCGCGCAGAGGGGGGTAGGGTTAAGTCGGGCACGTCCCTCTGCAGGAGGGATCTTTAAAGATAGGCAGAAATTCGTCATGGGACGATTTTGGACTATTTTTTGATATTCTGGGGGCTTCAAAAGCCGCCTGTTGGAGGGCATGCCCGACCTAAGGGTAGGGGGAGAGGGGAGTAGGCTTCTTGGAAGCACCCCTGTTTCTTAGGAGGCGCGGGCCTTGCCACTAGCTGTAAGGCCCGCGACTTCTAAGAAGCCACCTCCTTCTAAGAAGCCTTGTCCCCCTCCCCCGTACAGTGGGGGCCCATGCCAAAAAAAACACCCTGCTCTCATCCAGGTTGCCCTGGGTTTCTTTGGTTTCGAAGGTTTTGCTTAGGAAAGCGCGACGTTCCCACACCAAAAATCAATGGACCTCCTGGGGTCTCAGGGTTGGATTTCTTGTGGAAGGTTTCTTGTGGTCGGGCCCCTACTGTAACCCCCCTTGCGCGCCGCCAGCGCAGGCGCCGCTGCACAGCTTCGACCTCGCCGTGCGCTACATGCCCAAGAGTGTTTTCCTCACCGTGCACGTCGCGACGCACGGGAGGTGCGGCCCCTGCTTCCGGCGCTGGCGAAAGGCCTCCGAGGCATCGAGCAGTGGCGAAGCGTCCCGGCTCACCCACAGGCCCACCAAAGAGTGTTCTGATTGGGACTGTCTTGTTTTAACACCTCGGGTCTATGTTCTAAGAACACTGGTTTTGTTGATTGGAACATCGTGGGGTTCTGAGAACCCAGACATGCAACGTCTTAATTTTTTCCGTACGGGGTCCCTGGAAGCCCCCACATTTTCCCCAGGACCAGTTTCTCATCTTGAGTCGTTTTTCGATGGTCCCGAGGCCCGGCGAGGGCCCCCCGAGGCCGAAAATGGCCAAATACCTCCGCTCCTGATTTTTGTTCGACGCGATCCTGTCTGGGTTGCTTTTGAAATATTCGAAGCACGTTGGGCTTTAAGAACATGTCGTGGTAGGCCTATATCGACTACACGTAAGAGCGACCTCTCGCCGGAGTGACCCTTGGTGCGGGCCCAGTGGGGTCCCCCGATCGCCGAACGCGATGCAGTAGTAGCATCTTGCGCGCTCGTGTTTGGTCCCCCCGCGGTCCCCCAAAAGCCGCGCGCCAGAGGTCACTCTTACCCAAGGTCACTCTTGCGTGTAGTCGACTATAGGCTTAAATCGGGCGTGTCCCCCTCTACAGGGAGAATTTCCACGAAAACATACTCCAAAAATACCCCCAAATGGCCAACAAAGATATTCAAAAAATAGTCCCCGGACTATTTTCGGACTACTGTTTGATTATTTTGGGGGTATCCTTTAGTTTTCGTCGAAAGTCCCCCTGTAGGGAGACGGGCCCGACTTGACTAGTAGGCCTGCCGGGACGGCCGGCCCCTGCTCAAATCAGGCCGAGGTCGAGCTCCCCGGCCAGGACGGCCGCCGCGTCACGCACGCGGCCGTGCTGGAGCAGCGGCTGCAGTTCGGGCCGGCGGCCGAGGCGGGCGAGGACGGCGGGGGCCTTCCCAGACAGGATCGCGGCGGAAGCAAAAGTCCGGACGGGAGGTTTGTGGCCGTTTTCGGCCTCGGGGGGCCCTCGCCGGGCCTCGGGGCCGTCGAAAAGCGGCTCAGGACGAAACGCCGGCCCCAGGGAAGGGGTCGGGACTTCCAGGGACCCCGTATACAAGAAAATCAGGAGGTCGCATGTCTGGGTTGAGGCGGGGGTCAATGCAAACGGGGGTCAGCCAGAGCGCCAGATCTTGCAGGATCCTGCAGGGCCAGGGGTGCTTTGACCTGGTCGTGGGTGCAGGATCCTGCAGGATCTTGCAGGATCCTTCGCGTCGATCAGGGCTTGGGCTTGGGCGCAGGATTTTGCAGGATCTCGCAGGATCCTGCAAGGCCTGACTGACCCGGGTCTGCATTGACCCGGGTCAGCACCTCCCCGAGGACGGGGGCGCCCGCGGCAGCTTCGGGGGGGAGCTGCTGGTGCAGGCGTCCTGGCCAGGCGTCGGAGGAGGAGGAAACCCATACCTCTACACTCTCGTCCGTTTTTTCTTTTTGGGGCGTCCTGGGAGGCCCTCGTCGCCACCGCCGGATTCGCCTCGAGATCCTGGCCAGAGAGCACCCCAGGAGAGGTCCGGGGGGTAGCGGTATCGATGCCTTTTGGTTTCCCCAAGGCGACTGCAACAGCAGCGACTTGGTTGTGCCACCGAGGCAGACGTACGAGGAGGGGCACTTTGTCCGCAACGCAGCGATGGGTGTCTGCATGCCGTGCAGGCAGTCCTCGCCAGCCCTGGCGGCGCAGCACAAGTCGCCTCGGGAGAAGCTGGACGAGCGTCTCGCTGGCCTGCGATACGACCCCCAGGACCCCGAGAACGCCCGTGTGCTGTTGGAGTCTGCCGCTCCGCGGGCGCTGCCAGGGTACGACGTGACCAGGTTGGGGATGGAGTACAGCCGGCTAAAGGCGCCCGGCAAGTCCAGGCGCCTCAAGCAGCTGCGGGATCGCGCGGAGCACGCGACGCATTCGACCGAGCAGGTCCTGGTTCCCGCGTTCGAGCGGGAGGTAAAGCTGGACAATCAAGACGAGGACCAGTACCTCTTTCGCTCGGCGGCCGACGGGTCGACGTCCCAGGTACAGGTGCAGCATCGCGACGACTTCGTCAAGCGCGTGCAGGCAAGACTTCGGAAAACTGCGATTGTCAAGACTCACGTCTCGTACAAGAGTATCGTGCGCGAGCACGGTCAAGAAACGCAGGAGTCGAATTTAATGGAGAAGCTGGCTGTGCTGGCGACCCTCTTCCAGCCGAAGCAGACCTTGCGGCCCGCCGGAGAGCGGAAAGTTCTTCAGGCTGCGGCGCGCGCGGCGCGCGTGCACGTGTCGCTGTCGAAGCTGCACAACGCTCCCGTGCGGGTCACTGGCAGGGGCAGAGGACCAGCTGGCGGAGGCGCATATGGCCCCCAGGTCCCGGCCGGCTCCTACGGGTCGCAGCCTCCAGCGGGCTCCTACGGCCTGCCTGCCACGTACGGCGGCGCAGCCGGGATGCCTCCGCCGGGCGGCAGCTATGGCGGCTTCCCCCCGCACGGCTCAGGACAGGGGGCGTCGGTCAGTGCTTGGCCCAAAACGCCACATATATAACCTTTTGGCGCTCAGCGCGGGTCTTCTTAGATCCGCGCTGGGTCCCCCGGGCGGCGGCGCGCCAGGGAGGGGGGCTCCGGGCCAGATCCAAGAAATCCGCGCGGAGCGCCACAGGTTTGTGTTCATGGCGTCTCTTCCTCATCTATAGGAACCGATTCTGCCGCAGCCGGCGTTGTTCGGGTGACGGCAGTTCCGGTTCGTGGAATGGGGCGGGGAGCGTCCCCTGGGACACATCACTAGACCAGGGCCCACTCAACCCTCAGAGGCGACGATAGGGGCGAATAGCCCAGGGGAGAGCAATACATGTATTCAGGGGCGCCGATGATTTGAGTCTTCGACAAGGCTTCCGGGCGAATACGTGTAAAGCCCGCCCCTGCGCTATTTTCCCTTATCGCCGCCGCCGAAACCCAGTCTTGCCAACGCCCGACTGTAGGCGCACCTCGCGCGTGGCACACGGCGCGGAGTGTGGCGATGGGCCGCACGGGATGCAGCGGGAGTCGGCAAGCGAGAGAGTGTGTGAAGTGAGAGGGGGCGGGCCTCCTCAGCAGGCTCGGACGGCCTCGGGCGCTCCGGGAGATGTTCGGCGTGTCTCCCGAAGACGCAGGGAGAGAGATTATCGGAAACCCTTGGGGGCTTCTGGAAGGCCTCGCCGCCTTTGAGAAGGCCTGCCCCCTCTCACTGCGCCGCCGTGCCTCGGCTAACCCGTGTCCTTCTGTGTGGCCACGGCGAGGATTCGGCGGCCGCCCGGGGAGCTTCAGCGCCGGCGGCTCAGCCCCCGCCGATAGTGCGATCCCGTTTTCGCTCCCATCGAGGAAGGATCACTCCATGGGCATAAGCTTTTGGAGCTCCGCGCGGACTCTTCTTGCATCGGCGCTGGACCCCCTTCCGCGCGGCAGGGCAGCGCCAGAGGCGCCGCCAGGGGGCCCAGCGCAGGTCCACGAAGTGCGCGCGGAGCGCCCAGAGTCTTTGGTCCTGCCGTTGCTTGCTCCGCTGCTTCCCCCCTCTGCTGACCGATCGCTTCCGCGGTCCGGCGCCGATCCGAGAACTTCGTGCGGAGCGTCGGGAGTCTAGGTTTGTACCGTTGTTTGTTCCTCTTTCTTGTGCAAGCTCTTCGGCACCGCCTGTACTCCGTACCCTCCGGCCGCCTGAGGCCCCGCCCGCCCGCGCCCTGTCTCCCCAATTAGTGCTTCGCGCGCCCCGCCTACCTCTTAACCGGAAGAGGCCCGCTCTCGACCCGCCGACCAAAAAAATTGTTCCTCTTTCTCCTGGCCGATGTCCTCCGCGCTGTGGATGCTCTCCCTCCGCATCCTCCCGCCGCGGCGGAGTGTTCCGCTCGTGTCTCCTCCTCGTGCGGCCGGAGAGCTCGTGCCTGCCGTCGCCTGTCCCGCTGGAGCGCGCGTGCGGATTGCCTCTGCCGCGCTGCGGCGGGAAAAATTCCTGTATCCTTAGGTCGGGCCTGTCCCCCTACAGGGGGATTCTCGACGAAAAATATAAATACCCCAAAAAATACCCCACGAAGGCAACAAAAATACTGAAAAATAGTCCCCAGACTATTTTTGGACTGTTTTGGCTATTTTTCGGTATCTTTTATTTTTCGTCGAGAATCCCCCTGTAGGGGGACAGGCCCGACCTAACTCCATCCCCCCTCTTCTGACCGATCGCCTTCGCGACTGTCATCATCACCACCCACCGAATCACCCCAACCCAACCCGAAGGCCTCAATTTGCCCTCCGTTTCCAGTGGGGGGGTGTGTCCGGGAACACTGCAAAAACACATCTGGAGCCCATACCCCCCCCAAACCCGAAATCCGAGTCTTCGGGTTGGGTTGGGGTGGTCTGGTAGGTAGTCACATCAGACGCTCGGCTGCCGACTGCCCGCGCTCGATCTGGCCACGGGACTCCGGCCGCCCCGAGATCGGAGCCCGCCGGGCACGCACGGGAAGGCAGAGGGGGGAGGACGGCGGACGACGGCGAGCCGATGGAGTAGGGGAGCAGCCTTCTTCTTTTCTTCACCTCCTCCTCCTCCTCTTCCTCCTCCTCCTGCTCCTCCTCCTCCTCCTCCTCCTCCTCCTCCTCCTCCTCGCCTCCCTCCTCCCCCTCCTCCTCCTCCTCCTCCTCCCTCCTCCTCCTCCTCCTCCTCCTCCTCCTCCTCCTCCTCTCCTTCGTCCTCCGCCTCCTCCTCCTCTCTCCTCCTCATCATCATCATCATCATCATCATCATCATCATCATCAGATCATCTCATCATCATCTCTCATCATCATCAATCATCATCATCATCATCAGTCATCATCATCATCATCATCATCCTCTCCCCCCCATCCCCCTCCTCCTCCTCCTCCTCCTCCTCCTCCCTCCTCCTCCTCCTCCTCCTCCTCCTCCTCCTCCTCCTTCGACCTCCAACAACGAGCTCAGGGCCAGCATCTGAGACATTAGGTGTGCCTCTGAGGCCCCGTCCGCCGGCTGAAACCGTCGGCAAAACCAGCGACATGCGACCCCGAGAGATGGCATGTTTTGGGGAGGAGGAGGGGGGAGGAGGAGGAGGAGGAGGAGGAGGAGGAGGAGGAGGAGGATGAGGGGGGGAGGAGGAGGAGGAAGGAGGAGGAGGAGGAGGAGGAGGAGGAGGAGGAGGAGGAGGAGGAGGAGGGCCCGGGTTTCCAGAACCTGCCACGCGGGCGACCACGGGCGACTACAGTCCAGTCAGCCCGCCCACGGGCACCCTTGCCTCCTTGCCCCCTCGGCCCATCCTTGGCCGCTTCCGTTGGCCGCGCCCCGCCCGAAAAGCTTCGAAACTGCCTTCCAAGGCCCTTGCATCCTTTTCGTGCATCCTTCTGATACAGGTCGACCTGTGCACATGACTGTAGGAGCGGTCCGGCGCCCCGCTGACGGCGCTGGCCCTACCCCTCACTCGGCGCGGGCCCGACGGCTCGTCGCTCTCGCCCTGGTTTTGCCGTGCTGTCGCGGCAGCGCTCTCGGCCTTCGCGCGGGTGGGCGGGGGGACCAAGCCATCTGGTTGCCCGTGATCCAGCCCTTCACTGGGGAAGATTGCTCGTTCCAGCCATCACTGGAGCAGACTAGGGCGTTCGCATATCGATGCGCATCGGCGCCGACATCTTGCTTGAGGAGGTGAGCAGTAAACGTTCCGATCGCTGAACTTCCGCCCTGCTACGACGTGGATGTTTTCGGGCAAGACGGCTTGTGCGCGAGGGCCACGTGCCGAGCCCTTCCTGACCAACTACGTCAAGGAGACGTACGCGGTGTTTGCCCCAGGGACCCCCCTCGATCAGCTTGACGCTGACGGTGGCGGAGCAATCACCACACCAGATGTCGAACATGTTTCCCACGTGTGGTGTTTGGTCACGCGGCGCCGTCCCGCAGTGTTCCCGGGCTCGGGCTGTTCCAGCACTGCCAGAAGTATCAACCACATGGCCAGCCTCCTGAACTACCCGATGGTCTAGCACAGCGCCTCATCGGCAGGTCTGAGCGACCGCGCGGTGGTTTCAAATTTCCTGAGCACCATCAAGCCGGGCACGTTCTTCAATGGTGCCTGGATAGCAATCGCGTAGGACTCAGGCCACACGGAGATTTCAGTGGTTTGTGGAGAGCTCGAGACTTGGATCTTCACAGTCGAGGCTCTCGTTCAGACAGCTGGGCTGCTGGGAGTGAAACTCCACAGGAACGACTTGACAACGCAATATCTTAGCTTCTATGGGTGCGCGATCTCGTTTGACTTCTAGGGTATATCGGCCAGCGCGGCGCAGACTCGCAGAGCCTCAAGGTGCTGAGGAAGCGGTTTGTGATATTGCAGATGTTTCAGGTCCGCAACAGGCTTATGTGAAACCTACAGGCTGGGATATGTCAACGTCGTCTGGATGGTATTGGGGTGTTTGTCCATGGGTTGGTGGGAGGTACAAGACACAGACTGCGACGCGGCTGCTGTGACTTCGAAGATGGCTGCTCATATCTGCGAGCATTCTCTTTTGGCGAGCAGAGATGCAGACGCATCTGGACTGCTCGTGCTCCATGGCCTCTCAAAGCGGCCACGACTGCAGACGCAGCTACAACGCCACGTCCCTGGGGACAGTCAGCACCAGAGCTACCAGCCCGCGCCGCCGTCCTCATACTCAACAGTCCGAGTCTTCACACCCGCAGGGCGCCGACATCCGCAGGGCTGTGGGCGGCCACGCTGCTTGCCATCCGAACAGCTCGAGAGCCTTGACACGGGGGTCAATGTTAACGGGTGTCAGTCAGAGCGCCGGATCTTGCAGGATCCTGCAGAGACAGGGGGGTGCCTTCACCCAGGTTTGGATGCAGGATCCTGCAGGATCGATCTTGCGGGATCCTGCTCAGCCTGACAGACCCGGGCTTGAACTGACCCAGGTCAGAAGATTCCTGAACAGCTGGTCGGCACCGGTGGCCGACTTGAACGTTGATCTGTACACTGCCAACATGATGGGTGAGCCGAAGAAGTGGGGCTCGCCGACCGTGCTGACATGGGACAGCAAGCTGCTCTCGACCTTGACCACGGGCCACACCTTCCAGGATGTGTCCATCGCGTTCGGCAGTAGCGTCATGGCCATCCCCACGTGCACGTCCCTCATTGCCTTGCCGACTCCTGCAGACTACTTCGCGAACAAGGCTTGGACAGTCACGGCTGCACCGAACGTTTACGGCACGCCCAGCGCACCGAAGGTTGACGGCATTCCTGAGTGCTTCAGTCGAAGCGAGTGGCGCGTGACAAAGAGGGAGCGCGTGACGGGACGTGCATTAGACTAGGAGCACTCACAATTCGCAGACGTACGCAGAATTTCAAAGTTCACGTGTCCCGCCGGCGCGAACATACGGGCCGACTCCATCTGCCTCGCTCGCCGTCTCTGGCGGCGACGAATGTTTATAGTGTTTTCTTGGGCGCTGCGGGACACGGCCCGCCGAGTGCCCTCCTCCTGCTCCTCCTCCAC